CAGGAATGCGCTTCGTGGTCCCAAAGCAAAGCACATACCCCCTCGAGGGAAGTGGTGAGGGTCGTCCCGCCGTGGCCGTGGACGCTGTTTAACTCGCCCCTCTGCCGCGCAGGAGAGTTCGGGGAAGTCTGCCGGGGGTACCTGAAGCTGCCCAGCAAGCGGGAGCTGCCGGTCGCCATCCAGACGCGCGGGCCGCGTGCTCGGAGAAGCAGCGGCGCTCCTTCCTGGCGGAGGCGTGCACCATGGGCCAGTTCGACCACTCCAACATCATCCGGCTGGAGGGGGTCATCACCAGAGGTGAGGGGGGGCAGTGCCATGCGGGCAGCCCGAGCTGGGCACAGCAGAGGAAGGCTGCTGTGCCCGTGATGTGCTTCTGCTGCCGCTTCGGAGCGATGACCAGCTGCTGGAGGTGCCATACTGTCGCTCTCTGAAAATCGGGTGTTTCCTCATGTATTAGCTGTTTAGCATTCTGGTGATTAATAAAATGCTTACAGCGAGATTAATAAATCCAGGTAGCAGGACTGGCTTAGCAGCAAAACTGTGCACTCTTCATAAAAGCAAATTGAAGTGAGGTTCTGTCAGGAAAACAGATGACTGTGGCTGCTCCCGGCTCTCGTGGGAGTGTGTGCGCTGAGCTACTCTGCGGATGCTGTAGTTAAATGGATATTCATGTAAATGCAAAGAAACGAGCACGTGTGCTGGTTTTGACTAGCCTTTTTGTTAGCTGAGGAAGTATTTCTGCCCCGAGTCTTGGGCTGAGCTGCTGTTTCTGCCTTCGCTGAGTAGTGCTGTCCTCCTTTGTGATGTGGTTCAGTGTCCTGATAAAAGGAGCACCTGATATGGGGATCCTGCGTGTTCCCAGCTGGGAACCACAGGAAAGCCTCAGACCCACTGCTCATGGCAAACTGCCCGAGATACAGTCCTTGTCTCCCTCGATACCGGGCACTGCAGCGCCCGGATTTCTGACCCCCACAGCGTTAGAACTGCCCGCAGCAGCAGGCAGGACTCACGCAGTGCTCCTCGTCTGTCTGTGCAGGGAGTACCATGATGATCGTGATGGAGTACATGGGGAATGGCGTGCTGGACTCTTTCCTCAGGGTGAGTGCTGTGGGAGCCAGTAGTGACTGCTGGGGTCTGCCACCTGCTCAGGCTCTGCTGGCAGTGCCCCCTTGAACTGGACATTACTCACCTTTGGCTTTCTCTCCTCTGTTTTTACAGAAGCACGAGGGACAGTTCACAGCCACCCAACTTGTTTGCATGCTGCAGGGGATTGCCTCTGGCATGAAGTACCTGGCAGAGATGGGTTACGTGCATAAGAGCCTTGCTGCCCACAAAGTCCTTGTGAACAGCAGCCTGGCTTGCAAAATAACTGGTTTCAGACGGCCACAAGAAGATAAGATGGAGACCATCTTCTCCACCATGGTAAGCTGCGTTTCCAGATTCTATTGTCACATTCCCCGAAACCAAAATGCCGATGAAACGGCCACAAACCCTCCGCAGAGGTGCATCTCCCTGGCTGCAAGGCAGGGCATGACCAGGAATGCTTGGAGAGGGGCCCGGCATCCCTGGAGAGGTGTGCAGCCTACTCTGAATGCCAACTATGGATCAAGTGCAAAGTCAGCCAGCTTCCACAGGTGGAATCCTAGCAATCCTACCCAGAAGCAGTATTTCTGCTAGGTTCCCATTTCCTTCCTCGTGTACAAATGCAGACTCTGCACCTTAGAAGTTTTTCTCACTAGAAATCAAATGTGTTTAGCCAGGAGCTGCACAGCAGCCGTCCGGCACCGTTCTTCCTCTGGCTGCGTGTCTGGTGCCGCGGGTGGCTGCAGGCGGCTCTGGCAGCCTCAGGGTTCCTTCTGTCTGTTTTATCACTTGCAATGAAATTCATGGGTTTCAATTAAGAATTTAAGTCCTGCTTGTTTCACACTCATGCCTCGTCAGCTCTGCTAGCCAGCGCGTCTCCTGAGTGCCTACACGCGCTTGGAGGAGCTGTGGGAGCCCCTGGGTGCAGAGCTGGGGCTGCCCCTGCCCACAGGTGGGCAGCACCCCATGGGCCCCGAGCCCGCAGACCCTCGCCGAGCGGCTCTTCCTCCCTCCCCACTTCTTCCCCATGCCGTGTCGACGCGTGTCGCTGCAGAGCAGTAAGATGTATTTCACTGGTGCCAGCTGGGGCTGCGGGCACACCGCATTAACGGAGCGTTAATATTTTAAAGAGCATTGATTTCCCAGTCCAGTGAGCACTTACTGTTTGCAGGGAGCACTGGGGAGGCAGCGGCTGGGTGGGGGT